AGGCCTCCACTGCTGAAAGTAGGTTTCTGGCCTTTGCTTACAATGTTGCAATACTGCTGGCTGAAGTCTGGAGGTATTTGTTACATAGTTTCTTAACTGCAGGCTCAGAGGCGTGCAGCCGCAGGCGGGGAATGTTGGTTTCCTCCTTCACTGAGGCAAGCAAGCCTCATGTTAGTTTCAAGCTGCCTGGCTGCCAGACCGCCATCTTGGCTGACAGTTAATTTGCATATCTCGCTGATTAGCCAATGAATGAAAAGGGTAGCGGTCGTAAGCCAATTACCATGTTTCTCTTTTATTAGTGTAGATTACTGACTTCCCCTTCCTTCTCAGTTCCTAGCTCCTCACACATCCAAACCTACTTCTAGGTTCTGCTCCCATAGATGGGTCCCATCCCTAAGTTCTTTCTTCTCTTCACCCTACCTCTCCACTGTTGAAGAAAGTTGCATTTTCTTGTCCTCATTTTCAGACGTTTTATCTACCCACTCAGCCCCTGCATATATTCCTCCACTGTCATTTCTCCCCACCCAAAATAATTGGATTTTTTTTATATTATCATCTTTTACAGAGAGAAAATAATGATATGATAGCTTTCACACTTCCATCTGAAAAGTAAATTCCTTTCTTTTTGACTTTGTCAAGTTTCTGTATAAAAACTAGTTTATCTGGAAAATACAGGAGACCCAAGAAGACAATACCAGCACCACCAATACCAGCTATCTTCTACTGGTAAAATGGTCTTCCATGCCATTCTTTCAACAGCTCTGTTAAGCGTTATTCTTACCATTTGACAAAAAAAAAAAATCAAATAGATCTTGTTACTTGAAAAAACTCATACACCTATCCATGGACAAAGTTAAAAACTCTGGATAATTTAAGTACTTCTCAATGAAAATAGGCCCACAGACCCAAGGCCATTAAATTCAAATTACATCTTTTAAATTATCTATCCTAGCTTCCCTTACCTAAGCAATGTATTTTATACATCAATGCACTTTAAATACATAAATGAATAAATCAAATAAAACACATTAGCTTAGATGATAGAAATTAAATACCATTTAACTCAGGACCTAAAACATCCTGTTTTGTAAATAAAATTTTGTTGGAACCTAGCCATGCCCATTTGTTATCGTATTGTCTGTGAGGGCTTTTCCACCACAGAGTGAGAGCTGAATAGTTGCCACAGACAGCATAGCCCACAGGCCTAAAATATTTATGATCTTGTCCTTCACAGAAAAGCTGTGCTGAGCCCTGTTTTAGCTTTATAGTTA